TATAATTTGACCAAGAAATTCCACTTCTGGCACTTCATCTTAAAGATACAACCAGTCAGGGGACACATGGGTGGCTCAGCCAGTTAAGTATCAGACTCTTGATTTCAGCTCAGGTCATGATCTCAGGGTCGTGAGATTGAGCCCACCTCGGGCTCCACACTCAGCGGGGAATCTGCTTGGGATTCTCTCCCTCTGCCTCTGCCCTCCCACCTTTAACATGCTCTCTAAATAAATAAATAAAATCTTAATAAAAATATATTATATGGAAAAGATGTACAGAAGTGCCAATTAAGACTCCAAAGCAAACCTCAACCAATGAGGAATGGAAGTCGGTGAATAAACACCCAGGTTCCTGGACCCTTCCTGGGCAAGTCTGAGACATCGTCTACGCATCCGGGATCAGCCGACCAGGAGCCCGCGAGGAGCCCGCGGGGAGCCCAACGCACACAGCTAGACAAACGGCGCCACACCTCTCGGCCCGGAAAGCAACGCGCCTGCGCACACAGAAATCTTTCGGTCTCGGAGCAACGGCGTGGCTTCCTGGCCAATCAGCAGCTGCGGCGTTTCCTCGCCCCGCCTCCACGCCACTCGTACGCGTCTGGTCTCCATGACAACTCCTGAGCGTCTCTCCCGGTCCCACAAACGGCGAACCCAACCTCCAAGAGCATCTGCGCCAAGAGACGAAAAGAGCAGGAGGAAGGGGGCTAATTTCTGTCCTTATCATCTTAAGCAGGTAGAGCTGTCGTAAGAGGAAAAGGTCTTCACGGCCCCACCTGATCGATGAACAAGAACAGGAGAAAGGCCGGTTCCAGAAGCAGGAACAAGAGGCCGGTGAGCTACGTGAATGTGAGCTTCCCTGAAAGAGGAAGCCAGAGGACACGTTCTAAAACGTGAAGGATAAGGGCGCCGGGCTGGCCCTGTCGGAAGAGCGAGGGGCTCTTGATGTCCTCGTGGGGTTGAGCCCCACGTTGGGTGGGAGATCTCAAAAATAAATAATCGGCCTTGAGAAATAAAAGTTAAAAAAATTGTTTTTAAAGTTAAAAATGAAAGTGAGAAATAACCACCGGCAACTAAGGATACAAAGAAGAAATATCCTCCCCAAATGGCAGAGAAAATGGACAACCTTGTAGCCAACATACCGAAGAGCTTTGCGCCAGGGGCAAGGCGAGGGCGCGCTCCAGGAGGGAGGGAACCAAGCCCTCAAAGGACAGGGCCTGCGACTGCCCTCTCCTCGGACCAGCTGGCAAGGAAGGACCCCACCCCGCCCCCCGCCAACTCATCTTTGATTTACAAGCCTTCTCCTCTGCTGGAGACCTTTCCTCTCATGGTAAACGGAACAATGACATCACTGGACTAGGAATAATGTTGAAGTGTCCCAGGAATCCTATGCCGCACTCTTAAAACGGCAAGAAATAAAAGGAAACGAATCTCATGGATTTTCTCTTTCTTCCAATTTCCTCAAACTCTGACCTCTTGATTTTACTCCACAAAGAAACCACTGAATCCCTTCTCGTGTGCGCTTATTACCGTGTCAGTCATCAAGTACAAAGGAGGGGGAGGGCAGGATTGAGAAAGCCCTTTTCAGGAGGGACTATCGGCCCCACTCTCTGCACTTAAGAGGCCCCGGGCCTTGTCGCAGTTAAGAATCTTTTTTTTCTTTTAAGTATCTTTATTTGTTTGACAGAGAGAGAGATCACAATTAGGCAGAGAGGCAGGCAGAGAGGGGGGGAAAGCAGCTTCCCCTCTGGGCAGGGAGCCGGAGGTAGGGCTCGATCCCAGGACCCTGAGATCATGACCTGAGCTGAAGGCAGAGGCTCAACCCACTGAGCCACCCTGGCACCCTCGCAGTTATGAATCTCAAGGACCACATAAAAGCTGTCAAAAACACTGGCCTCTCTCAAAAGGGACTGGTAAGTAAAGTTGGGCTCTTCGGTCCAAGGAAAACCACTCTGACTTTCCTATATGCTATTTAATACCTTATTACATTTATAGCAGTTGCCTAAGTAGGCACCATCATCTGGATTATGTTAGAGGAGGCATCCCTTAATCCAGAACTCTTTCCTTTGGAGCCTACACAGGAACAAATTCCAGACGATGCTGCCCATCCAACAAGGCTCCTTTTGGATGGTGTCTTAATGTAAAGAGTGCTCTAACTCCGAGCTCTAAGTCAGTACAGAAGCGTCTACTCTTGGCATATTGTCCTCCAGAAGGCTCCCGGATTGTACAATGGGGAGAAAAGCCAAGTTCTGACCTCCGTAATCCCATCAGTCCCTGATGCTTCTAGCATCCCTAACAAGTGGTTCCATCGCGCCCTGGTGACTGGCCCGCTCCGTAGCCTTCCTCAATCCTTATCTCAGGGCCACATGTACATATACACGTGTGCAGAGAGGCAGTAGAGTAAAAACGTTAAGAACAAGGACTCTTGAGCCGGACTCCCCGAGTTTAAATCTCAGCCCCACACTGTTTCCAGGTCAGCCTGGGACTTTGCCTTTCTGAGTCCTAGAGGCCTCCTCTACAAAACAGGGATATTTAAGGGCATTGTTGGAAGAAATGAATGAGTTGACGCATACAAAGGTGCCTGAACAGTGTCTAGCATGGAATAAACCTTTACTACAAGGATTAGCTATTACTGTCATGGAAATCCTCTGAAAGGGGTCTGGGAAGAACTAAAACACAAAGAAAAAACAAATTATACACTGAATTCTGCCTTACTTTATGCTTATAAAAGGAAAGGAACGGAATACCAATGCCTACCTCTTGAGTTGCATTTCGAGGATAAAGGGAAAAGCCAGGTAGCTTTCCTTTCTTACATTTACTAAAGAAGAGATTTAAATGAGGTCTGCCTTACAAACTGAGGCAATGCTATGGATACCTAAGGCTGGGTTTATTTGGGGATATGGATTTTTTTTTTAAACTAGATGAAATAGAAGTATTTCCCAGTTGTCCATGATGCTGTATCATAGCAACCTTCCTACCAGGATGAATCAGCATATCTTCTGATATAATCAACTCTGGCCAATTGAGTAGAAACATTCATGGAGAGGAATAAAGTACTACATAAATGTAAATGTATTGGCTGTGCCTCTCAATTCTTTGGAGAAACAAAATCACTTTCAGTGGTGAGCCTATAAGGTGGAAATAGAGTATTATCAATATTGTCCTTATAAATCTGTGTTACTCATAAAATGCAGTAACATAGCTTTGTGTGTAACTCTGATTATGCAGGCTATTATGTATTCATACGTATAATTGTACAAGTAAGCAAAAGAATGCTGTATCTCTATATAAAATATAATTTTACAGTATTTCTAATTTCACTAATTTATTGGTTGGGCTTTTTTTGGAGGTGGGTGGTGCTTATGGTTGAATTCTTATTAAGTAAAATGTAAGAATGTAAGAATGATATGATTTTCCCCAAGATGTTTATCTCAAGCCACTATATTTTGTATGCATGATTTTGGCAAAACATATCCAGAAATCATCTAATGTATGATGCATATCAAAGGTACTACAGGGATGACTTTTCACTGAACTCATCTTGTATGAATTTTTCAAACTGTGTATAAGTATTATTTTGTTTAAAGTCAACAATAAAAGACCTAACAAGATAGTTACTTTCCTCATGGGGAAAACTGTTAAAGCTGGAGATAAAACCAGATATTAAGATGCAACTAAAAATGTTTTATAGGCCTATATGAGAGATCTCAGGAGTTGCAAAGTTTTCCAGAGGAGGAATTTATTTGCAATTGTGGTGGTCAAGAAAAGGTGACACTTTAAGTTGGGTCCTAAAGAAGACTGACTCGCAAACGGAAAAGAGTGATGTGACAACTACCTCTTGATTAAAATAATAATAATAATAATAATAAACAACAAACAAAAAAGGATGAATGTCTCCTCAGAAAAGGCAGAAAGCCCTACTTTAATCAACAAAGTTCTCTTCCTGCAATCCTCAAATCAAGCCTGGGGTCACCATACAATGAGCTCATCACAATACTGAAAACTATCCAAGCTTGGAGGAAATCTATCCTTCTTGGAGGAATTTGAGATGAAACATGTATGTTAATCTTCCCTCCACTCAACACAAGTAAGTCAATCACAAGCAGCTTTAACACATAAATTAGTTTTAACCATATAAATTCATTCTAAATCAGGTTATCATAGATGAGGCCTCTGAAGGAAGGAAGGTCAAAGGTTTCTCCACAACCCAAACTAACTGGCTCCAGGAAAAAACAGTTTTTTTTGAAAGGACCTTGCTATACCTAACATGTTACCTACCATTGACGAGCTCTGATTCTAATAACAAGAACCTTCCCTGGAGGACTCTTTTTTTCCTTGCCTCCAATTTCTAAAAGTTACTAAGAATTTCATATATTTCAAAAATTACTTCCAGAGGTCATCATTTCTTCAGAGTACTTTGTCTTACAATTTTCAGAACAAAAATCCCTTTTCCCTCTATCTTCAGTTGTGCTTTTCAGCTCTGAAACTCAAGCCCTGTTGAACTTCAAGCTGCCGCTAACACTTTAAACAGAAGAGAAGGACAGGAAGTCAGTGAGAAGGGAGAGTTCAAAGTAGCCCTTTTAGCGAGGACAGCACTGCTAGGAAGAGGAATGATTTACATTAAGGCAAAGATTTCTAGAAAGGCGGTTTTCAAATATACGATCGACCATGAGTCTATTTAACTTGGACATGGGCGGTATTCCGATCAGTACAAGGAGGGGCAATGAGCTCAAGTTTAAAGAACTGGAATTCCTTTGCACGTTGGAATAGCCCAATCCTGGGGTTAGGAAAAAAAGAATCACTTCATGGTGACATCAGTCATCTTCAGGCACGATGAAAATATACACACGCAGAAAGACCGATGGTTGCTCTCCGGCTATTCCAGCTTCCAGATCAGTATTTCTTCACACGGATTTGTGGTATGCTGGCAGCTAATTCTTTGCTGGAGAAAATGGGAGGCAAGGATTCTCAGCCCTCAAAAAAAAAGGGGGGGATCGCAATTATAGTAACTCATGAAAGTAGGATTCTTTGGTATTTAACAAAGTGACGGGTCTGAATGACCAGACATTCAGAGTGATTCTCCACCGTGAAGCCCCTGATGCCTAATGAGGGCTGAACTACACCTGAAAGCTCTGCCACATTCATTCCACCCACAGGGTTTCTCTCCGGTGCGAATCCTCTGGTGCTGAGTAAGATGGGCACTCCTGCTGAAGGCTTTCCCACACTCGTGACAATCAAACGGTTTTTCTCCAGTGTGAATCTTCCGATGTTGCGTCAGGGATGAACTCTGGCTGAAGGCTTTCCCACAGCCCTTACAGGCGTACGGTTTCTCTCCGGTGTGGGTTTTTGTGTGTTTTAGGAGCGTTGAGCTCCGGCTGAAAGCTTTGCCGCATTCTCTGCACTTGTAGGGTTTTTCTCCAGTGTGAGTTCTCTGGTGTCGAATAAGGGCGGATCGATCACTGAAGGCTTTCCCGCAGTCCTCACAGGCGTACGGTTTCTCTCCAGCGTGAGTTCTCTGATGTTGATAGAGGTGTGAGCTCCGACTAAAGACCTTGCCACACTCGCTGCATTCATAGGGTTTCTCTCCAGTGTGAATAAACTGATGTTCAATACGGGATGAGTTGTGACTGAAGGCTTTACTGCATTCGTTACATTCATAAGGTTTCTCACCGGTGTGAATTCGCTGATGTTGAATAAAGCGCGTTATCTGACTAAAAGCCTTCCCGCATTCACTACATTCATGGGGTTTCTCTCCAGTATGGCTTCTCTGGTGTTGAATAAGAGAGACGTTATGATTAAAGGCTTTCCCACATTCCTTGCATGCATAGGGTTTCTCTCCAGTGTGAATTCTCTGATGTACTGTAAGGGCTGAGTAATTCCCAAAAGTGTTTCCACGTTCACTACATTCATAAGGTTTCTCTCCGTGTTCAGATCTCTGATGCGGAATAAATAGTGCATTCTGAATTAAGGCTCTTTCATGTACCTGCCCACCATGAACGCTCTGATGATGTTTGGCAAGGTGTGAGTTCCAGGTGTAGACCTTCCTATCATCATAAGTCTTCTCTCCGGTATTAGTTTTCTGATGTTCCGTGCGGTGTATACCATGACCAAAGGTCTTCCCATTCTGATTACGTTCCATATTTTTTTCTCTCTTATGAACTATACAATGTTGAACATAAACTGAATGATCACTGAGTATTTTACTACATACATTACCCTGAAGAGCTTTCTCATTTATGCTCTTTTTCTGATGTCTTATTAATTTTGAATTCTGTTTAAAGCTCTTTCCCTGAGCATCAGATGTATAAGGTCTCTCTTCTTCGGGGTGTCTTGATTGTATAACAAAGTCTGACTTCAGACTAACATGTCTGCCACATTCGATACATATGGGGTTACTCTTGGCCATAGAAGTTCTTTTCGTGAAGAGAACTGTTGCTTCTTTCCCAAGTCTATCTTGAGCATCCTCTTTGATCTCTGCCTATCCCCAGGCTTCCTTCAAACTGGAAGGAACATCAGCCCCTGTGCTTTTCTCCATATTTATGCCCTGGTATGATTCTTTTCCAGAAAATACCTCCTTTGGGTTTGACTTTCTGGTCTCCAAATCTGGAGGGGAAAAGTAAAAATGTTCCCTGTACTACAAAAAGGAAATGACTCAAGTAGGAATGAGATAATAAAATTGCACACATACCATTAGTCACAAGTATAAGTCAAGTAGTCAACAGATAATTTATTGAACACCTATTATGGGCTAGGCACTGTGTTATATGCCAGGATTCAGTGATAAACAAAGCAGATGTAGTGCCTTTCTGAGATTTACAGTCTTTGGGGGAAAACAAGTATTAAATATTTTCAAGAATGATGAATGCTGTAAAATAGGAGTGAGAGCGATTTCAAATGGAAACGATCGGTACCATACACTGGAATGATAGCTGCCCCTAGCTTTTGAACCACGAGAATGTTCCCTGGCTTCTGATGCCACCACCACCAGCAGTCCCATGATCCCTGTCTGGAGTTCACTCCTGCTAGGGTCATCCTTCAATGCCTCCCTCTTCCACTCCCACTGGCACAGCTCCCCAGTAACTCTCCTTGATTATGCCTGAGGGTGCTGATGGATCAGTAAAATCATTAGCCGTATTTTCCCTTGCTACCCTGAATGTTAGCATTTGCTGGAGACTTCCTTCAGCTTTCCCTTTTTCCCTCTCTCTCTGGGCCTCCCAAAATACACACGTACATGCCCCAAGAAAAGACAAAGAGGGTCAAAGTTCAGGAGGATGCAGAAATTTTAGGAGGCTCGGGGTTTAGGCTTACTACTAGTACTAGTTTAGCTTTCTTATGGATAAACTATACATGACATTTTAATTGTTGTAAAGCTGGGACTTTGTAATTAGGGATCTTGTAAGTAGCTTTTCAGCCTGATGAAGGGTAAGACAAACAGCACATGTGTTTTGCAAGCTGGACTATCTTCAACGTAAACTCAGTATGTGGCTTTGAAAACCTTATATAATGTAGGAAAATGCAAGTTCAAAGAAAGCAACATAAGTTAACTATGGGGGAGAGATGGTAGCAGGGGACTAATCCACTACCATATTAGCCAAAAAAGAGGAACAACCTGTTAAGTCCAATGGACATTCTTCACGTCCTTACTTGACCTCTCTACTGTCTATCACTATGCACACGTCCCCTCCTTGAAATGCTCTTTTCTGTGGGTTTCTCTGTCAAGAACCTGACCTGGTTTCCTTCTACTCTGGCCACCCTTTCCTAGTATCATTTCTGGATTCCCTTTCCTTCATTTATTTTGATAAAATTTGTATAAGATACCTCCACTGCCATCACTCATTATTAAAAATTATTGCTATTTTATTATTTTGACACCATTTCCCCCACGTGTTTTTTTAAGTTCACAAGTGATATAGATATATACAGATATAGATAGACAGACAGCAGATACTTAAATCTGTACGTTCATTGGGTTTCTAAGTTGTCTTGCAACTCTTTTCATGCCCTATTTCTCTCTTTTCATATTTCATCCACTCCCATGTCCTTAATTGCCCTGCATTCTTCTTTTCTGCATACAGAAGTGTAAAGAAACATGGAGACTGACTAGTTACTTATATAATAAGAATCCTAAAAGGAAAGGAAGAATAAACAGATAAAATACTTAAAGAAACAATAACCAAGGATTATAGAGAAATGAAAGTTAAGGAACTTCAATCGAAAGTTTTCCTAGAAAGTCAAGCAGGAAAAATATGAAAAGACACCACGTATTATAATAAAATCTAACAACATAAATTTTTATTTGGAACCTTGGGAGTTCCCTAAGCGGAATTTGAAACTGGCCCCCATATATGGCAAGGAGAGACGGAAGGAAGAGGCAGACTACCTAGGTTGGTAGGCATCAATTTTAATAAGCAAGGGAACTTATATACTAGGTTCTCTTTAACAGCTGCACCTCTGCACCTGCCCACCAGAATATTTAAAGTTTCTATACAGGCTTTAACTGGGTTCAGTCCACATGGTCTCAATAATACATTACTCTCTCAAGGCTGCATCCCCAAAATGACTCCTACTGTGGGAATGCTGGGCAGAACATATATTTCCAAGGGCAGGGGAGGGGGTGAGGAGTCTCGCATTCCTTGGGTGTAGCTCACAGGTCAGTTGGCAGTCACTGTTCATGACCCCTTACACAATAAATAGCAAGAAATTCTAAAAACTCCCAGATACAAAACAGATCACATATAAAACAGAGTTCACTGCTAAATCCCCTGCGTCAAAAACAGTGCCTGGCATTTTGTGGCCCTTTAATGAGTAATAATTGAATAAATAAACCTAATCATTCATCAGTAGTACTGACTACAGAAGAAAGTGTAATGATATTTTCAAATTGTAAAAGATTGAAAGTTTGAATCTAGAATTGTATATTTTAATTAAGTATCATGCAAATGACTCAAAATAAGGCTACTCTTATGGATACAAGACCTTGGAAATTTTCTTGGAGGATGTATGCCCCAAGAAGGAAAAGAGTTCAGGAAGATGCTTTAGGATATAAAAGACAGTAAGGGCAAAAATAATTTAATAAAGGATTTGTTATCATCTTTAAGAAACAGAGGTAGTGAAACAGGGTGACGCCAACTACATGTACATAACAATTCCACTAAAATTTTAGTACCAGTGAGGATGAGGTTGGGAAGTAGAAATGCACAAATAAAGTGACGAAGTTACTTGTCTTGAGTAGAGGGAGGATATACATAGTCACAAGTTAGATAAATAGATGGGTTGTAGGGAAGAAACATAGGTGTGAGTTTTAACAAATTAAGTACAAGTACCATGTGGGTAAAAGTACATGTATACCATTCAAACCAGATCAAAAGAACTGATTTTTTGAAATTTTTTAAAAAAGATTTTACTTATTTTTGAGAGAGAGAGAGAATAAGCAGGGGGAGGGGCAGAAGGAGAGGGAGAAGTAGACTCCTCACTGAACAGGGATCCCAGGACCCTGGTATCATGACCTGAGCTGAAGGCAGACACTTAACCGACTGAGCTACCCAGTCACCCCAAGAACTGATAATTTAATGGAAACCCAGACAAGAGGAAAATGAGAAACAACAATAAAGTATGGTCAAGGGAAAACACAGAATACGACCTGTTACATAACTTATTACAAAAAATGTAAATGAGTCAAACTCATCCATCAAAGGGCAGAGAATCTCTGTTTGAATTCAAAACAAAACCAAAAACTGGGGCACTTGGGTGGCTCAGTTGGTTAAGCATCTGCCTTCAGCTCAGGTCACGATCCCAGGGACTTGGCTTTGAGCTCTGTGTTGGGCTTCCTGCTCAGCATAGAGCCTACTTCTCCCTCTCCCTTTGTCCTCTCCTCACCCACTCCACTTGTGGTCTCTTTCTCTAAAATTAATTTTTTAAAAAACCAAACTAACACAAGCCCAAAGATGCAGCAATACGTTCTTTACAAAATATACATTGGAAACTAAGCAACACAGAAAAACGGAAAACAAAGTGGTGACAAAAGGATATGCCAGGCAAATATGAACTAAAAGAATACCCACATAAAATGTTATTAATAGAATTAGATTCCAGCATCATAATGGACAAAAGAGGGATCTATATACTTGTAAAACTCATGAGGAGTATTGTATTTGCCTTCATTTCTGTTTCTTCCATGGTTCTTTCTTTTATGATGCTCTATGAGTCCTTTCTATATCTTTTTTTTAATCTTTTTTTTTTTTTTTTTGGTTGTTAGACTTTCACTTCACCATTCTTTAACGGTAGATCTGCTAAGTGACCAATTCTTTTAGTTACCATTCATCTGAGAATGTCTGGATTGTCTCTTCATTCCTGAAGGATATTTTCTTTCAATACTCAAGTCATGGTTGGCAATTTTTTCCCTTCAAACTGACAGCACTTGAAAATGGCTATTTTCATCTGGCCTTCATGGTTTTTGATGAGAAACTTCCTGTCATTCAAATTGCTGTGGCCCTGTAGGTAATGTGACATCTCTCCTCTGCCTTCTTCTCAGTGTTGGCACTGTCAACTGCCTTTTCTCCTTCAGCTTGTGATCTTCCTGGCTCTTATTATGATGGGTAATTTTGGTTTGATTCCTGGAGATTTTGCCTGTTATATTAGAAGACTCAGGATCCTATTTAAATCTTCTGTTTTAGACCACTGTTACCCTGTTTAGGCTTAGCATACAGGTCTTAGCCTACTTTGGTGGTCTGTGATTTCAGTGAGAATTTAATTTTAGAGGTTTGGTGGTACAATTTTGGTCTGGTTGGTGTATCTGGTACTGCTGGGGCTCCCACTGGTCTCTGCTGGTGCTGCTTGAGTGAGTGGAAAGAGCTTCCCCAGGCTGTGCTAAGGTGGGGAAAAGGGTTTCCAGCTCATGAGGAAGAAGAGTGCTTCCTGGGTTGGGCCCTCTATGTGGTGGCATTCACATGCCAGCAGTAGGACCCATCCAACTGGTGTCTCTAGATGTGGGTGTGGATGTGTGCTGTGGTGGGCAGCTGTGGATTCCTGGGTCTAGCTGGGGCAGAGAGCACTTCTTGGGCCAACTGGTTGTTGTGGTCAGATCCCCCAGATTGTGCCACCTAGAGTCTGTTTCTCTCTATGGGTGAGAGGGGTCTCACA